CAGCATTTGGTTGTAGAATGGTCTTTTTTGGCGTAAAAAGTATTAAAAATGGAAGATATCACCCACGACCTTTATACAATGTTGACAAAATAGCCGGCATTGTATGTGCTTATTTCGGATCTACCCCGCTAGCAGATATCATAGCTCATTCTATGTTCATTCTATGTTTATTAAATGCTCATCGAACTGGCAATAATTGTTTAAATGACAAAAAATATTTACAGCTTCTAGGAAGTTAATAAGGACAAAACAATATTTATGTACAAGAATATTTAAAAGCAAGAATGGATAAACAAGAAATATGTATTACATAATCAAAGAAAGCAATACAATAATAAAAATGACCATCCTAAGAACCACTTAAAATACTTTAGCTTTTTCCATTGCAGGTAGCAAATTTTCGGAAAACAGATTTTAGAGAAAAATGACATTAGTTGCAAAATATACTATTCTTAGTTAAAGAGAACTCAAATTTCGAAAGAACAGTTCCAGTTGTAAACGAATTCACATCTAAATTAGAAAATGATTCCAAAAAAATCTAGAAAGCAAACCTATATTCTTTGCTATTTGGAAGCATTAGAGTGACAGATTTGAGGGAGATCCATACTAAACGAGCTCTGAACGGTTGATGCGTACCGCTCGGAGAGAGAACTGGAAATATTCCAGGTGCTGACTGTGACTTGACACATTTCAATTGACTCTGACCTATGCCCTATAAGCAACAAATGTTACTGACGTTTTGTATGTGCTAAATTCCTCAATAACAGATGCTTGAATTCAGAATGCTTTCAAACAAGAGATTTTGCCTAAATTGAGTTTCATGAGGGATAACAAGATAGGAAAGATAAACTATCGATACTGCAATTATTTGTAGTAGGCCTTAATAGAGAGAAAGGACTGACCAAAAATGTTTGTGACGTTTGCCAAAATGACAATTTAGCTTCTTCAGCTCCGTAAGTTGCTAGAAATTTTCCATCTTCTGAGAATGCCACTGCTGTAACGGCACCCTTGTGAGCCTGTAGCGTCTGAAATTTATTAACTTTTGCAATTACTTCTATGAAATCTCAACAGAATTTCAATATATTCTTGTATGAGAATATGTTGAAAGAATTCCATTCCACATCAAATTATAGCCTATGTTACAAATAGTTCTTCGAATTTCTTTTGTCAAAAGTTTCTGTCATATTTTCTGATTTTGATTTTATCATAGTATAAAGATGATTTTTTAATGGAGTATAATTACAAATCATGAGAGGAAAGAAAATACCTGTGCCTTGGCAGCTCTTAATTCATGAACGACTACCGTGCCATTTTTTCCACCAAAAGCAATTCGACGCGTGTTCGGACAGTATGCAACCATGTAAAACCAAAAAAAAAAATCGTTATTTTTTCTAGCTTGTTAATACATTTAATGCAGCAAAAGAAAGATTTTATAAATAAAATCAGTGAATAATAGTACATGGACACTGTAGAAATTAATAATTGTGACCAAAAAGATGCCACACCTTGTTATTGGTGGGAAGATTTCTGACAGTGATTTATGCTTAAGCAATGATGCATCCAAACAGTGGACAAGTATATCACCCACCTGAAATCATTATCCATAAAAAAGAAGAAGAGTTAAAATAAAAATCTAAGCCTCATAATCTAATTCAAACAATGTATGTCATAAAATCTACCGGGATCATCAAATCGGCAACGTTCGTATATTCCTTTTCCGAGAGTAACTCCATAATACGCAACACCTCTGTTCGACATTTTAGTAGTGGACTGCTAGTCGAATGCTGAATAGTTTGATGTTGTGCAATACTATTGTAACGGGCTACCTGAAACAAAATACCGTGAAAAACAGCAACTCAGTACGAAGTCAGAAATATTTCATTAAATAAAGGCTCTAAAAAACTATAAACAAGATTTACAGTAGACGAACAACTAATTCACGAATGAAAACAGACAAATTTGGTGTTTTGTATAGTAGAATTATGACAATTCAGAGGCTTTCAATATCAATAATAATAAGACGAAAAAATTTTCCTGCCAACAACATAACTAACTTCTTTACTTAATGCCGTGATTACTGCCGGTGGCCGCGATGTAGCAATTAGACTTAATGCATGACGTGCTGTATGACACACATCCACTGATGGAGTTAAAATAGCCGCTGTAGTATCTCTGCAAAATTGTCTAAATTGGATATCAGTGACAATTATTTCTATGTTCTTATGCACAAAATGAGTAACGAAATATTAATATATTTTGATATATTAATAGCAAAAAATTACACTGATTGCTTGTCAGTGCTAGTAGCCAATTCCAAAAGGATCAGCAAAAGTTTAGTGATATCCAGATGAGGCTGCCAAACGCTGAAGCCTCGTCCGATCAAATCTACGGCAGCACGGCGAAGTGGTGAATGAAACGGTAATAGTGTTGTTGATGGAGCAATGAGCAGTTCTAAGAGGGATTGTGCAGTAGCCCGTGAAATGTCCAACTATAAATTAATTCAAAAACATCATCTCAAACTGCTATCAATTTTACGAATGGCAATAATATTCCAAATATCAAACTAATAATAATAATAATTATTATTATAACACTTCCCATCAGCAATTTATTATAGTCGGATATCTTTACCACTAACCTTACTCATTTCGTCTGGAAATTCGGCACCAATTACACCAAGCAATATTAATGATGTTGTTTGATTTCGTCGAATTTGCTGTACCCCTGCTTCTCTCAACAACCTAACATCTACTGAAATTAATAAAACAAAATTTACCTCATACTCTAAATTTCGGAAAACCCTCTCCATCCTCTTCCCAACATTAATTATTATGTCAAATGGTCAAAGTTCTCTGATCATTCGAAATTACAAGCTTGATCAATTATGAGCAATTACTAATTAAAACTAAGATAAAAGCAAAAAATCCTATCGAAAAAAGGATATTTCTCGTTTAAATAAATCTCACCATTAACAGTTGGATCTGGCAGTGCTTTTTCGCCCCTGCGATGAGGAATTGGAGGTGGCTGAGAAACACTGGTTGTTCCAAGAGCTGTATTCATGGACGCTATCAAAGCACGACTACCAAAAATTGAGAGGGTAGGATCCAAAAGGGTTGGAAGAAATGCAGACCACGATTCCACCAAACGTTTTCGACCATTGACACTAAGACGCGTTAATTCTCTAGTTAGTAGTGCTTGAGCAGCCAATCTCACTTCTATACACCGATCTTGCCACCTGAAATTCTAGTGAGAGAGAGATAAACTATGAAACTATTGTTGACAGTTTAATGCTCCATTTTACGAAAAATATGTAATTTTAAATAATATTTACTACAGGTTCTTAAAAACAAATTTCAGAAGTTTGGAGAAATAAAACTAAAAAAAAGTACCTTTTTGCGAGTAGTTCTATTCTTGGTGGGCAATAAATATGCTTCGGTTTGATTAAATCGGGTAACAAACAACAATGTAGAGCAGCAATTAATGACCAAACTTGTTTTAACTGCAAATCGCTTTCGTGAGACTCAGCACCGGAATAACGGAATGAAGTGTTTCTGGAAAACCATAGGAACAGAAATTAATACTGAACAATATAAATATAACACCAGCTGATGCAAAATCCTCCTCTATGATAGTTTTATAATTAAAATTCCAAATGACATCAATTATTTTTATTATGTTTCACATTGTGCAAAATAAGTGGATTACCATCCATCATTTATAAATAGATATTCTAAATCTGAAATAATTTTTATACCTTATAAGAATATTCCTCTTAGCGATATCGAACGAAGCGCCATGTAATGACATCAAAGTATTCGCGAGAGCAATAACTGCCAACAGATGTGCTGTTGTCAAAGAACTGCCGGTGGTCCACCGAATAGAACTTGCAAAGTTATCAAATGAAGTGCCATTGTTGAATTTCCCTGTAGGCATGTATACCACCAGATGTCCTGAAATGGATAGTCCGCTAAAATGAATAGTAGTAGATGACTGGCTGCATATTCAGTTTAAACTGAGAACAGAGAATCAAACTGAATAATAAAAACAAATAGAGAAACGAAATATTACTTCTAACCTCTTAATTGCAAAACACAGAACGTTTGAATACTGGATAAAGCGTTTACGTGATATATTCCAAAGATTATGTCAATTTGAAAACATAATGAAATGATAAACCTTGTTGCGATTCAACACCAAAACTTAATGGTACCGACGGTTTCACGAGGCGCAATTTTTTCAAACAAACTTCATCCAAATCAGCATCAAGAGTCCAGGCGTACAATAAACTCATACAAAGCTTTGCAACATCCAGATAAAGATTGGATCCCGTCTGCCATGCAATTTTTGTTACTGCTATACGAGGATCTGACTGTTGTTTACCCATCAGTATTGTTGATAATGATTTGTTTTCAACATTTTCACTTGATGACAATTCATTTTCAAGTATTAAAAGACCCGCTGAAATAACTACTCATAACATAAACATGCAGATAAGATTCGAGAACTTGATAAATGATGGCAAAATTTGTGAATAAAATTAGAAATGTAGAAATTACAAAATACCGATCAAAGAGTCAATGTTGAAAAATACAAGATGTGGTGAGTTAGGAGCTTTAGCCATAGCCTGGATGTTCATTGGAGGTGGCAACTCGAGAACTTTTTCAACTGTACTTGTAACTTTTCCATCTCGATTACCAGTTGCAATTTGTTTCATCTGTAATCCTTCGATTAAAGATAAGTTTAAAATAATCTTATTGAAAGATATGAAAACATCCAAACGTTTACAAAGCATGTCCATAATCATAAATTTCTGGATATTTTAAGTAAAACACAATGATATGACGTTTTAGCAATTCCTCTCAATTGGTTATATATTTCAAGTACAGAAGCGAGATCAAACTTTGAATCCTCAAGGAAACATACCGCAAGTATGTTTTTGTTTCTCAAAGCACGAAACATTTGGACGGCTTGTGAAGCGCCAGCTTCATCGTCTATCTCAGCCACACCAACTTGTTCACTGCAAGCTAGCAGAATTTCTTCCGCCATTTGACCGTTAACAATTCTTTCCAAGCACGCTGAAAGATAACGAAAGTCTTCCGAATGTTTAGTTTAAAAAAAATTATTTAAAGAGAAAACTTGTCTTTTTTAAGCTTATATTGCAAACATATAAACCAAAAATTTATACTTACTAGAGACAACATTCTAAGCATGACTTTCTCGATGAGTTTTTACACTTCCTTCATTTAAAAAAAAATTTAGTGTGAAATGAGATACTGTAAACAATTCTGACTAATAATTACTGGCATTCTAATCTAACTATAGATGAGAAACACAAACCGGTATCCATTTGCCAGACATAAACAGTTTCATCCTCACATTTCAATAGCAGGAAATTATCCAGTGGTCGCCATTTTACATCCACTATTGGAAATAATTGTCGACTTGCCAACAGAAGACATTTATTTTCTTTCAAAGATAAAAGAGCGGCTGAATTATCTCCAGCTACTGAACAAATTGTATGGAGGACTCTTGGCTGAAACAACGGTTTGAAATATATGGATGCCATACTACAAAACACATCACTGAGAAATGTGCCAGTAACATACATTGCATGTTTCCGGAGGAATAAGCATGCGAAGGATTGGACCGCCTTGCACACAAAACCGATACAATCTTGATCCAGTATTCAAATTCCAAGTTATGACAGAAAAGTCACTGGATCCAGACAAGAGTATCTGCTGATCATATCGCGAATGTTCTTCATGTGGATATAGAAAACATGTTACAGCAGCAGTATGACCATACAAATGCCGACAACTGAGCTCTGCAATATAGCTTCACTGTCGGTGGATGGACTTCTTAAAAACAATCAGATCGCAAAACCATACTTTATGTAACAAATAGGAGCAAATAAAAACCTTCGCTTTTGGTTAGCAATTGTTTTGAAATGGCGTCGCAACCGTACATAAGAATTATAGTCCCATCTCCACGTCCAATAAGAAGGCGTCCTTGGCCACTAACATAATGCGTAGCTGTAACCTCACAATCATCCTAAACTATATCAGGTTACTATATCTTTGCTAACTACTCTCGAAATTCGCAGTAATAGTTGTCCACATACTTCATCATCATATATGGATGGCGGCAAGTTTTTCAAGCCATCCCATTGACATCTAATGCTTGTTTCCAGCCTGGGTTGCTCAAATATTACTTGATGTTCTGATTGTATCGGTAAAACTTTATCTAATTCCCATAGGATTATATTGCTCTCAGTATCGGCTCGCCAAACAAGATAAGGAGCTGAGATGCAAAATACCATGTGCGCTGACCGCTGAAAATGGATCCATAATAAAAATGAAAATCATATAATGTTCTGATATGGGATAGCAATATAAATGTCGTTGTAAAAGTCGTCCCAATAAATAAAAGAGAAAAAAATGTTATGAAACTTGCGGAAAGTTATCCGAGTCGGAAATTTATATTCAAATTTTGTGAAGTATTTACTGATTGTCTGTAAAAAGTCACCAACCACATTATTAATTGATTTATTCTGCAAAATCATCAGCAGTGCTGGGTCATGTCTTTCCATCACACTTTCTGAGCCACTACCACAAGAAAGCAATCTAAATCAAAAACAAAAAGGCTTTTTTTTGAAACTGCCAAAAAATTCGAGAAGGAAATCTATCCTACTATACTTCATAGGTGTCCTATGTCACATTTATTAACATAAAACTCACGAACGTGGAAGTTGATAAATATATACACAGCCATCTGCACAGGCTACTGCAGATCGTTCATCAGATAATAATTTTCCGTCACAGATTTGTTCTTCAGAAAAATATACTATCAAACGATTAAGATCATCTAATTGAAATATCTGAAAATGGCATGCATGGATAAAAAAAGATATAAACAGCTACAGTAATGAAAACAGAGAAATGTGCGAAATAATGAAATAATGTTATGTCAGTGACTAAGATCACCTATTTGTCAATACGATATAACCTTGAACGGAAATATCCCTTCTTCCCTTTAGCATTGTTGTTCACTATTACGCAGTATATTTTTTTATTGGATTTCGTAACTTACAATTACTTCTTTCATTTCAAATTTAATTCTGTAAGAACGCACTTGCCATGATCCAGAATTAAATACCAGAAATATGGAAGGTGAAGAGGGATGCCAAGACATAGAACAAACTTCATTTATCTCCATATTCCTTGATTCTGCTTCATAGATAGGTAATTCCTGCAAATAATCACTCGTTAAAAAAAGCATTCTTGGTTGGTAGAAAACAAAAACAGGATCTATCAATAAATGAATTCTCGTTCAGATGGTCAAATGCTCAACGTCTTAGTTGGAAAGACACAATGATTTTTTTAAAAAATATCTCTATTTTTTCTATTTATTTTAGGAAAAATATTACTGATTTAAAAGACAACAAACTAACCTTTTTATCTAAGTCAAGCAGAACCCAAACCTTTACCATGCCACATGTCGTAATGCCTAATACTGCATCTGAAAAAAATGATTAAAATAAAGAAGACCGATAGATAATTTAAAAACAAAGTCACTGCTTTTACTATTCAGCAACTTTCTTATTATTAAATCATGAGAAACATTAGTACAAAACATAAAATATGGCGACATGCCCTGTATCTGCTACCTAATTCATTTAAAGAGAGCTATCATTGGTTTTATTCTGGTAAATTCAGCAACCATTCTCCAACAAAATCATAAAACTCACTGATTTCCTCTATTTGACCATGATAATTCAAACAAATATATTTTAATTATTCAGCTGAGAACAATTGAAACTTAATGCAAACAAATAACTATCAGGAGGACTGCAGTCTAACCTACTGAACTTTCTGAATGATATCATTATCTATCGTTCATAATTCTAATTCAGAAGACATGAAATGAGAATTAGATATTTCAAGTAAAATGAGTATGGTATAGTGATCATACTTTAACAATACGGAGAAAACACGGTTTAAAAGCTGGAATAATCCTCACTATGTGAAGTGGTATACTATAAACGTTCATACCCTGTTTGCTTGGATGACTGATAATAGTGAAAGCAGCTACCCAATCTGGCTCTACTCGTGAATTCAAAGTGAAAAGTATATTCATATCCTGTGGATCAATCACCACCACTTCAGCGTAATCTCCTATACAGTACAACCCGCATAAGTTAAAGGAACTTTTGGTCATATGCTGAAATATTCATATATAACATTTGTAGTTTATCTAATTTATACAAATAAAGATAAACAGAATTGGTACATATTACACTCACAAGAAAAAAATCTTCCGTTTAAGGAAAGCTGAAAAAAAGTGATCGATTCAGGATGACGGATGGAAGAAGACTAATACGATGATAATTCTAACTTGTAAGTATTCTGGAAGAAGTGATGAAGAAATACTAACGTAAGGGACAATTTGTCGATGCACATGAGCCATAAAGATATTATCAATAGTACGCCCATCTGCGCTATCCCACAACGTCAACTGGCCGTCTGCGGAAGCACTCACGAATCTTCTGAAACTGACTGCGCATATTATATAAATCCTAATTTCATGTCTATGCTATTGTGCTTCAATCAAAGAGTACAACATGCATCAATATCGAATAATTCTAGGAGAAAAACACATTCATTTTTCGACAGTCTTCGAAATTATTACGTCAAATTTTGTGTGGTATCTGTTGCTGATAAAGCTGTTATCGGAGCTTCATGTCCAAGCAACATCATTTGAGCCTGCAAATTCCCGTCACATTTTTCCCATAGTATCAAGGTACCATCATCAGCTCCTGAAATGCATGCTTTCGATATCTTAATTTTCATCACTTTTACGGATGATCCTTTGAAGCTGAACGGTTTTCATGGATTGTCCATCTGAATTTCACAGTATAATGCATTGTTGAATTTGTCCGGTATTTTTACCTGTGATGATAATTGTGCCGTTTTTAAAACATTGCAAGCAGTTAATGCGATGTTTCGGTGGCTTTCTACCCCAAAGAGCAACTGCAACTGCCAAACCTGATTGTGGTGTTGCTGTCATATTCTGGAATGGCGTCTATTTACTCTTTTTAATCTGCATATTTGCAAATATAAAGGCTGTGGACATTTAAATGGATGTATAGCATTATACAAGTTACTATGAATTCATGGCGAGTTCACATACATCAGAAATATATTAGGCACAAGACAACACAAAACACTTTAACATCAACATATACGTGCAGTAGCACGGAAGCATATATAATAGACCTTACTTCACCCCCAGCGTTCCAATCGCATCTTGCAAAAAAGCATGTGTTCTTCCAGATAGCACGGTCTGTTGCATATAACGATTATGCGACACGTCCGTATTCAAGGGAATGAGATGAAAGTTAAGGATAAGGAAGAAGTGTTGTGTATCAGAGAATGAAAGACTGAAGACTGAGAGAAAAAACTGTGGAACAGTTATAAGAAACATTTAGAAAATGAGAGCAATTTAGCATTCTTTGACTTGTAAAATTATGAGAGGATGGGTCATTAAGAGAGAGGCCCTTCGGGTATGGCGTGAGTGCTTTTAGTTGACTGAATTGCGGAACCATGAAGTTTTCAAGTTTCTAAACCGGAAGTGATAATTTGAATGAGGTCGGCTTAAGCAAAAAGCTAAGAAGGCTCTTAGTGACTGGGAATAGTTGGAATTTGTTGACATTGCTTTCAAAAATTTTGCTTTGCATACTTAATTTAAACTGATTTCATTTATTTTGCAGAGGATTTACACAAAGAGGAGTGTTGGACAAATATAGCGATGGAGGTATCCAGCGAGAAGCAAGCCATCCCAATTGCTGATTTAGGTGTCGACCAGCTTACTTATTTTCAGCGACAAATCGACCAGGAAATTTCTTTTCTCACCGAATCCCTAAAGGTTGCGTTTTTTTGATATTTTGCTTCATTTTCCAATGCAACAATGTTTTGGTAGATGACTTTTGATAACATTAAAAAAAAACTGTCAGTAAGGACAGAGGACGCTTATCTGAAGCAACCAACATACCGAAAGTTATTGGTAATGTTGGTTAGGGATTTTTTTTTGAAGCTTTCTAAAGAAATTATTGCTGCTTGGTAGGATTGCAGATTTATTCGTGACGATTTTAGGAACTGAAGATTTTCGAATCGAAATTTATCGCAAGTGAAGAATCAGTAATGAACGCAGCCAAAGTTTCTAGTGATGGCGAAATTTTGGTGCCGTTGACAGAATCGGCAAGTTTGCTTTTTCTCGTTTCCATAACTTCTAGTAACTTCTGATGAGCACCGAAAAGGCCACCAGATATTAATATGTATTGTTTCTCCGCTTTGTTGCAGACACTTATAGTCCTTAAGTTTTCAGATGTATATTCCTGCAAAAATAGCTGATCCAAAGAATCATTTGATTGAAATCGGTACAGGATATTTTGTGGAAATGAGTACAGAAAAAGCGGTAGATTACTTTAGGCGGAAGCAAACTTTCTTGAAAAAGCAGGTAAATTTTTGTTGAATGATTTTGGGAGTTATTTTTTGTTTTCTCAATGATTCATTGTGAAAACATAGGGAAGTAGCTTCAGTTCATATATAACAGACGCTCAATGATATTGAAAAGATGCAGCGCTCTACGTTCATAAGTGCAGCTGCTCAGAATCTGGATTTTCTATATAAACACAGTCTCAGACTTTTAATTACTTTTAAGTGTTCGGAAGATACTGTAACAATTTTTTAATGTTAATTTAGATGGAAGTGATAGAGGGAGTACTACCCGAGAAATATCGAGCTAGAAATGCCATTGTTGACAATCTGCAAAAGAAAATAAATGTGTATTGTTCTCAGGTTCAAATGAATAATATGAATATTAAAAAGTAAAAGTGATCTCTTGCTTTCATGTCATTTTTGTACATAGTGACGACATCAGTAAATTTCTGAATTTCTAGTCACTGATGCAAGTGACATGAGTCTTATTCTTTTTTCTTCATTTCCAATGTAATTTGTTTTTTGTTTCATCTCCTTTGCTTTTTTATTTTATTCTACTGTCATTCAATAAAAGTCATGTGACATCGTTACTGTATGTTGCTTCAAATACGTTATGTCGAGATACCTTGTTCTTTTGTAAAAAAAATTATTACTTCTAGCCATTAACAGTACTTGACGTTTTGCTATCAACTACGTGGAAATGGGAGCCTTACTGTTTCGATCTTCGAATTATTTGCTATCAATGCAAGAAACAAATTAAAATTAAAGATTCAGGTACATCATTTGGTAGAGATCAAATATATGAATGAGGGTTGAACCGCTTTCGAATTGTGAGAAGACATTCTTTTTCAACTCATTTAAACACAATGTGGTAAGTATTAGCGATTGCTGGTAATGATCCAGTGATTATCATCGAAGGTCGGTATTCTTTTTAGCCGGCTTAGGAAATGTAAGATGTTCAATCCGTTAATATGTAAAAGCTTGGAAAGTGCAAGAAAAAGATGTATTCAACCCGTTGATATGTAGATGCAAGTAAATATATTACATAAGAGAGTTTGCGTAAAAACTTGGCAACATTGTGGGAGTTTAAAAGATATTAGATCATTTAGTCAAAATGAGCATGAATGTGTCTGTGGTTCCAGCGAATTGATGGGCGTAAATGTGACGAGTTTCGAGAAGTGAAAGTTATTGTTGGTTCTGAGCTTGGTAGTTGTCTTGTGATGCTTGGAGAAACGAAGTAAGTTCATTTATTGAAGATAACTTTATCTCTAAAGAGATTTAAACATTATAAAAGGATGATAATCTCGGACTCGAAAAGTTTTCCTCTAACAGATTTTAGTAATAGCTTTATTCGTAAATTCATCAACATTTTCCAGAATATCGGCACAAGTGAGCTGTTCGCTTGTAGAGCCTTCAACTACCAGAGGTAATATGGGTACGGTTGATGTCCAAGTGAATATGTCACCTATGGCTTCTCCTGATTATGAAGATGGCCGCCTTGGTTTGAAAGGCCTTGAATTAATGCGAATTCTTGAATTGTTATATCGTAACTGTGGTGTTGTTGATCTCGAATCTCTGTGTCTAAGAACATTTAAACAGGTGTTTAGCTATTATTCAGACACTTTGAGTACACTGAAATTGTGAGCTATTTGTAAAGTTTTCTTGCAAAGCAATTGATAATTCTATGAAATTCTTTGGCACACATTTTTCTAAAATCATGTCAATTTGTCCATTTCCAGGTCTGGCAGATACGCATTGATGTTCATGTATTGGCTTCAGATGGGTCGTTAGTGGACTGTGCATGCATCGCATCCTTAACTGCTCTTGCCCATTTTCGAAGACCCGACGTCTCTGTGCTTCCTGATTCCATCATTATTGCAAGCATTTTTTATCATTATACATGAATTGGTGTCCCTTCATACCTTATCATTCAGATTCCTGAGGAAACACCAATTCGTTGCAACAATTGCGAGACCATTAATTGTTATCTGCATTTTGAGGTATGAAGCAAAAATGATAAAATGAATTTATCTTACTGTTTTCAGCACGGTAACGATGAAAAAATACCGATATCACTCAATATATACCACATGCCGATCTGTGTAACATTTGGCATAATTTCAGACGGGTAACTTTACGAACAGCAAATGTGTCTACAGAAGTTATTTTAGCATTGTTGTTAGTAGTCTCATTTGTTACTTTTTTATTTGCTCTTACTCCTATCCTAACGCATTTCAGTCAAAACATAATTGATCCGACCGATAAAGAGGAGCAGTGTCTAAGAGGGTCGCTTATTGTAGCTGCAAATAAAAGGCATGAGATTTGCGCATTGCATCAATCAGGAAATTTCTTGCTCAGTGAACAGTTGGTATGACAACAGTTTCATTATTAATGGTGTTAATGAAAATACCATTTAAGAGTGCAAGTTTAAATAGATTTGTCAATAAGTTACAGATTGTGCAGTGTGTTGATCGAGCAATACAAAGAGCTATTGATGTATCAGAGCTGATAAATTCGGTCATCGCAGATGATAATTTGAAAAGGTTTCTTCTACACTCTGTAATATTTTTTTGATTTGTGCTTACTTTTTCTTTATCTTCTAAATCTAATGGAAAATTTTTAGATCGAATCGACAGCAAGTAAATGGATTTAGCGAACTTATAAAGTTAAATGTGCTTACATCACATCGATGCGAACCCAATGAACTTATTGCCCCTGCAGTGAAAATTGATGCATTAGGAAGTATTCCTAGCATAGAAGAGATCGTTACAATTGGTGTAAGCTGTGATCCATCATTCATTAAAAGCCGAGGCATTTTCAGAGCAATGCATAAAATTTGCTGGAAATTATTGATTTTAGGATAACCAAATGCAGATTGATAGTGACAGTAAAGTGACAAGACAAAGGAACGACGAAGATATTAAACTTGTGGAACAAGTCCAAAGTATTACCTCTTTAAATGAATCAAAAAGACAAGAAAATGTAAGATTTGGGACTTCTTTATGTGTTCTAATTTAATTACTACTTTTACCTTTTTTAGGATAGCCTTTTTTCAGTTCTGTGGAATTTTTTATTTTAGCATACTAAAAAAGATAAAAGTTGGCTGCTATGTTTCCTGATGGTCTCTCTCTTCAGAGCTTGGAAAATCTTCCACGTAGCAACACTCATAACTGTACCAGTGAAATATATAATAGTAAACCTTAGTGAATATTGGAGTAGCCATATTAACTATCTATAAACACATATGATCTATGAGTTGTATTCGCACCTTTTCACACGCTATTATTCAACCTTTTTATTGTAAATTATTGAGATATTCCTTTCAGAAGAATCCAAGAGATCTTGAAGAAGTAGACGAGCTTTTACAAGGCATTGAAGAAGAATATGGATTATCTGGCTGACTGGTTAGGAAAGATGATTTCTTTATTGAATGAAAACTGATCTATATAAAAATAATGAAAATGTGAAATGTATAACAAAGACTGTGTAACAAACAATATGGACAAGCTAAATATAATTCAAGGAATACAGAAATAATTTACTAGCATCACAGAGCAGTAGAATGAAAGTGACTTCTCATACAGATAAGTTGCTCACCTCCTATATCTTATCAGTGCAATGCATAGTTAAATTTCCAATAAGATTTAATACATTGGACATTATAGCACACGGAAATTACTGCAAACATATAAAAAAAATTTCGAATTTTGAGAATTCAGAGTTCATAACTGATTATTGAATTAAGTTCATCCTTCGATTATACAAACGCAATTTAATGATCAATTACGAACTCTGAATTTTCAAGATTCGAGGCCAATTCTTTTGTCTATATGTCTGAAGTTTGTGGCAAATGACTGTCGATTTGTTGGTGAGATGATTTGGTTAAGAGGCATTCATAAAAGCATGATAAGAATGGTACTGCAAAGTTCACTGCTCTTCCCAAATTCTAGAACAAATATCAACGACACAACTAAAGCATCATAATATTATCCGAAAAAAGAACAAGAAGCAAGAGGTAACATTTTTTGGCGTATGCACAAAGTATGACGCGTGATTCTAATTCTCACAAAAGTAATGGAAGGATATGAAATGAAACATGAAAATAGTTGCTGCTGATAACTTTTTATATTTCATGCACTACATCGTCATCATCTGAATCGAGAGCCAAAAGCGTTTTCCATTCAGCTCGAAAGCCTCTCTGGTGAAAAGTTATACCACTTCCACGTCTTAAAATAAAATTTAATTCCAAACTACATTTTTCTTACGTAGTGAAATGAACTGAGCAGGAGAAGGCGTGACAAGGTTTGCAAGGTGGGGCATTTAGCCTCATCGTAATACTTGTTACTCGATGAAAATAACAATCGTGCAAAAAAATATCACTGAAAATACCTTTTTTGCAACCAGAAAAAAAATCCAGCAAACGCATTTAATTGGGAGCTGTTTGGTGTATGTATATCTATGACTATTTGTTATAAACCTTACCCGTGCTACGCCGACAGTGCGATTGTTGTCTTGCCCTAGAACCCACCAGGTATTGTACGCCATCACCGCAACTGAAGTTCAACTAATATCACTTCGTAAAAACAGTATGGGACTAAGTCGTTAGAAACAAAAACATTTTAGACTTTATAAGATTCAATCTACTAAACGAAAGCATAGAAATAATACTAACGATGAAAATATGGGCATGAACCAGAAAAGGTATTTATCACCAAAAACTTGTCTGAAGTTACGTTGTATGCCAAGATTAAAGCCATTTTTATCAATACCATAAATGAATACGGGAGGTCGAAATGA